AATCTAAAAAATATTATGGTAAAAACCAAAAATTAAAGAATACAAGGATAATAAGCAATAGAAAAGATCATCTTTGCTAGTGTCAAGAGTTGATCTTTGGGGAGAAATTGAAACAGAAAAAAAAAGGAGAAACTTGAGTGAAAATAGAAGGGCTGCAACAAAAGAAAGTTTGAATTCTTAACATCTTAACGAATTCCTCTATCCATTAACTAGCTATTTGTCTTAAAATCTGATGGAAAGCCAACTGTGGTAAAGTCATGTTCATATGGCTGGGCCAAGGGGACTTCCTTATGTCTACTTCTACTGCAAACGTTAGTATATCTTACATATGCCTTCATAGGTATTTGTTCCGAATTATTTTTCTACTGTAACTGTCCATTTTATGATATTGTTTATTTTATGTGTGTAAGGATTTTGCTGTATTATTTTTTCATATATTAGCTACCCGAAGTGGTAGGTAGGCATTTGAAGAGCAAGATATATTTTAAAATGTAATAAATAGATGGTTCCAATCAATGCTTTGTTTAAAAAAAAAAAGGTGCCAGAACTCACAAACGTCATATAACCTGCCTTGCCTACCCTACAAAGTTTCATTCAAAAAAGGTGCCGGAACTCCACTCTGCGTATTTTATGACAAAAAAAAGCCCTGGTTCCAATTGATTTAATATATTAAATTTACCTCTAAATATTTAGTATATTAGTGTTCAGAAGTTGCATATTGTAGTTTCTCTTACAAGTGCTTTTATACTGACAGCTGTTAAGATAGCCCAACTTAGAACGTTTTTTCCTATCTTTACATACCCTACATTCAGATCATTTATAATTTGCTTCTGCTACATTTTGATCTCAGCATTGTTGTTAATTAGAGGTGACTGTAGTTTGATTAATTGCTAACATATGTCACATATGTACTGTATGAGAAGCTGCAGTCTACATTTTTCCATTTATTGAATGTGTGATCCAGTGGATATAAGCCAAACATTGTTTTTAAATAAATAAAAACCTAATCATATCACAGAGAATAATATAGACATAATCAGAATACGATACACTAATTTCTTTGAAGTGTTAAGAATATACAATAAGAATATGCCATAAATCATAAGGTAATGTTAGCAGGATCATATAGGCCATCAGAATGTTTTTGGGTTAATCCCCATATTTGATTCCAGTTTCTCAATAAGGTCTGATAGCTCCACAATTTGTTTATATTTGTTTGCTATGTTTCTTGGCAAAATTCCTATTTACCTATGAAATTAGAGAAAAACATACAGCATCTTATTGGAAAATTAATAAGCCTGACCCAGTATGAGGTATGTATAAACCATTTAAAATTTTGTAGGTTTCTAGCATGATACCAAATGAATTTGTAATGGATGGTTCAGGTCTCATTAGTGGTCCATAGACCCCTGGGGATCTGTGATATCATCACAGGGGGTTCACAAAGGCTTGAAGAAATGTTATGATTTAAATTTTAAGTCTTAGGGGTCCATGGCCATAATCTGTGGCCATAAAAGATATTTAAAGGGGATCCATGGTAAAGAAAAGTTTAAGAACCACTGTTCTAGAAATTTAAGGTTCTGATTTGAATTGGAAATATGTGATTTAATATCAAATTAGAGCTTACTTCTTGGAAGGTTAGGTCAGCTATTTTCAACTTGTAATAGTTTATTAAAATGAAGAGTTTCAAGTACTCAAATTCAAATTCAAAAGCTTTTGCTTACTAATAGTCTAGATCAGGGGTGTCAAACTCACAACATCATGTGAAGTGTTACGACGTATCACGACTTTTTCCCCATTGCCAGAGCTGGGGTGGGCATGGTTTTGGCATGACGCATCTGACCCACGGGCTGTCAGTTTGACACCCCTGGTGTAGACTCTAGATGATATCTATTTCAGTTCTGTTAAGGAATTTGCACTAACAAAAATATGCCTAAAATCACCCTTTGTGTCAAGGAGTTTGGCAAATGGCAAATGATATTCCAATCTTTTAAAAAAAAGAAATAATGAAATTACAGACTATTTCTGGATATGTTTTTAGAAAGTTGCAACTATCAGTTAAGATTAAAACTAAGAAAACCAAAGAGATTATCTGCATTGACAGGCTATATCACACTAATATGGACAACAGCCCCTTTTGAATGATTGGAGTAGATGATCTCACACTGTAGTTGGCCAGGTCAGCATGGCCAGCCCATCACCACTAAGTTGCTTCTGCCAACTTACCACTGCCAAGTTGTCACAGGACAACTCAACACAGCCAATTCACTACAGGAAAAACTCACTGTGGGCAGCCAGAGGAAGAGGCAGGCAGGTAGGCAAGCAAACAGATGGGCAGAGCACAGACTGGCAGTGGCCAGGACTTTCCATTTTCACAAACCTCTGCTGCTGCCACTACTGATGCATTGAGTTCTGGGCCATTCAGAGTTCAAGCTATTCAGCAGTGGAGGCAATGTTCAGGCTGTTCAGGGGTGGCGGGGAGGTGGTGGAGGCCAGGTGTGCCCCATTTTTACAGCTCCTGCCACCACTGCCATGGTGGGTCCCTCAGTGTTGGGGCTGTTTGGGGGCAGTGGTGGTGAGTGGGACAGGCAGTGGAGGCTAGGGCATTGCATTTTCATACACCCCACTACCGCCCCCCCATCATTGCCCCAGAATGGCCTGAACATTGCCACCACTGGACAGGTTGAACTCCGAATGGCCTGGAGCTCAGTGAAGCAGCAGCAGCAATAGCAGCAGTGGCAGAGGACATGAAAATGGAAACCCCTGCCTCCTCAGGCCCTCCGCACTTGCCCACTCTGCTGGCCCGGCAGAATTAAACATCAATATAAAAAACATAAAAATCCATAGCTGAGATATTCTAACACCATCAACACAACCAATACAGCCAATGCACAGACTTTACCACATTTCCAGATCCTGCTTATGAGCTTTTCATGGTCATTAATATAATGCTGTGGGAATAGAATGCTAGACTTTCATATTTTATCTGTTTCAGCTATATCTGAAAAATCCAGCTTAAATCCAATAAAAGCTTTCCTAACCTACATATTTGAATATACTAATATCCAGATACTCTAGATATTCTACTATTGTCTCTTATCTCCTTTGTTCTATATAAATGTAACCATCTTCATAGACAACAAGAGTAATGAACACTACAGCAAAGAAGTCGTGCTTAAACTTTTAATGGACAAACATGCTGTGGTGAAAATGTATGAACATTTTAAGTGCAGTAATACAGAATGTGCTCTACAAATGAATTTTGAATGCAAACATAAAAGAAAATAAATGTTCTCTCAGAACATTTGTAAGTGGGATTTGTTCCTGCAAGCAAAATGATGGTTATAATGAAGGTCTACTAGGAAAAGTTATACTCTGGGAAAAAAGTAGGTGTTTTCATTTGCTGGCTGTAGCTAATTTTCTTTTAATATATGGTTTTTATGTTATACAGCCTCTGGTAGTAAGTGAAATATAATTCTAATTAATTTTTCCTATGGCTGTAGACAAATCAATAACTGTAAGGATCCCAAGGGAAAAAAACACGCAACATGGTCTTCTAGGTTCCTAACAAACGCAAATAAAATGACCTTTTCTTGACAACTATGAATATTGTTCCACAAATTTACTACTAAAATTGCTGCAATCAGCAATTCATAGTGCAAATACAGAGCCAATAATAAACTTAAATAATTGTTCATTATGGCAAAGCAGGATGTAAACTTCTACCAATTGTTACAAACTTAATTCAGGAATATTCATATGAAATGATTGAACAATCACATGCTAGGAGTCTGTCATTATTTTCATTATAAATTTCTACCCTACCAGCAGACACATCAGCACATTTGATATCTATTTTATTTTATATTGGAAGTATGAAAGCTATCAGTTGATATCAGATACAAAGCAGTGACTCAGGAAAGTAGACAAATGTGATGGATGAAGATGTTGTATGTTCTATCTAGAGATTCATTATCAACACCAGTACACACATTATTTTGTTAATACTTGCTTGGGTCACTAGCAGGAAGTTCCATTGTGGTGGACTAGACAGAGAAGTAAACAAATACCTGCGCACACCCAGGAAAAGACAATGGCAAATCACTTCCCTATTACACCAAGGAAAGCACATGGATGTGTCCATTAAATCAAGTCTGATTCAAGGCATTTTTCTATATCACAAATTATCAGAAGGTTTTGCCCCTGGCTTATAGACCTTATCTAAGCAGATCAACATGCTTATTCATATGATGAATAAAACACTCTTACATCCATTACTACCCATGATTCTCCTCTCTTCTCACTCTTCTCACTCTTTACAGTTCCATTGCCTCCATGTCAGACCTTTAATGCAATAATCATAGAATGATATAAGTATAGAGTGCTTGGTGCTCTCTGACTTTGGTTGTGTGCAGATGTTTCATTACCTGACTAGGTAACATCATCAGTATTAGTAAGTGTGGGTTTGTTCCATATTTATACACAGAATCTTACACTGCCAGTATTGGTATAGGTGTGGCAGAAAACAATACCCAAATCAAGGAGCTTCCAAGGAGAAAACCATAGGATTTGTTCATTTCTTATAAATATCAAAAATAACCATAACTAAATAAATGTATTAGTTTATTGAGTACAAAATGCATACATTAGTTACTGCCTTAACTGGTGCTGTGGTGGCGCAGTTATTAAAATGCAATATTGCAGGCTAACTCACTGCTCATCACTAGGACTTCAATTCTCACCGGCTCAAGGTTGACTCAGCCTTACATCCTTCCAAGGTCAATAAAATGAGGACCCAGATTGTTGGGGCAATATGTTGACTCCGTAAACTGCTTAGAGAGGGCTGTGTAAAGCACTATGAAGCGGTATGTAAGTCTAAGTGCTATTGCTATTGCCTTAATATGATTTATCTATTAGTCAATATCTCTCCTCAGCTAACTTCTGGTTCTATTAAGCTCCTCCTTCAACTCCTGCTTGACAGTCTAACAGCTTTCACAGGCAACAAATGGAAAGTCACAATTTTTTTCTACAATGCAAGCAAAAATCCTCTCAGTGCTGGAGGCTTTGAATGAGGTATGTGCTGTTAAGGAGTTTTGTTTGTTGTTTATTTCCATTTATGTACATCATTAAGCTTATGGGTTTATAAAAAATTCCCTACATGTAAAGTGTACTGATGTGAAATTTAGGCTCAAGCCATTGATTTAGAAAGAAGCAGCATGATTAACTTGGAGAAATCGCCATTTTATAGGCAGTTTTCAGCACACAGTCACCAGTCTGGGACCTGTCTGCAGTGTTCGATTCAAGGAAGTCCTATTAATATTTCAGGAAAAAACAGTTTTCATAGTTACACAAGGAAAAAAAATCTCCATTTGTATGATTGTATAAGAGAATCTCTGAAGATTCACTTTCTTCAGCTATGAACTCTGACAATCAGAGACCTATTAAAAGGCATGACTGAAATGTTATTTTTAAAGTGATAGAGTGGGAATACTAGTCACCATATAGGGAATAATCATATTAATGTTAAATCTGTTAAATATATCTCATTACATTTAAATTAAATCAAATTTAGCTTTTGTTACCAGTTTCTTTGTCCCAAATTAATTTTGGGAGTACAATCTTTCGTATGCTACTTAACCAACAAAGCTTGAATCAGAAAGCCAGTATTCCCCATATTATTGACATAATCACCCATATTTTTGTTGATATTTTATGTCAGCCTGGTATATTCTGTTGAGAATAATGTGAATTTTGAGGTCAGATTTGATTGGAGGCTGAATCCCACCACTGTAGGTAAACATTTTCTTTGTTACCTATGAAGGCTGTTAGACTATCGAACAGGAGCTGATTTTTGAACTGATAAATTCAGTTAACTTACTGAAGCATGTTGGATCAATCATAACAAAAGAGAAATTTGACTAATGTCTATGTGATTATGACATACATGGCATATTAAACTGATCTAAACAATCTTTTCTTGATGACAGCTGAAAAGATATCGCAATTCTCTAATACTTGCTATTCTTTCATGTTCTGAATGAATCCCTATTACATCTCACTCAATATTGATCTTTAAACCATGTCTCCCATTCCGTTTCCTTGTGTGGTCACTGAACAGTATAAAAGTTCAATAGGAAGATCAGCTGCTCATCCACTTTTTTGCTAAAGCAATTTGTATTATGGATTTGCTTTAGCAGTCTACAGTGGCAGTTGCTGTTTTTACTATTTAAATGCTTTGATTATCTGACCTTGCTTACTTTATCTTTTTAAGCACTGTGTACTGGCTTTAAAAGTTGATCAATAATGGGGAATTCCTCCATCACATTATGCAGAAATCAATCCTGATTTGGGCTATTTGTATTTTTCTCTTACAAGTCCATCTGTCTATGTTAATTTTATATTTTCTCTTTCTTTTGTAAGTAATTTGGACCCGTATTTTAAAACAGATATTCCTAGGTCTCAGGAGAATACAGACACTATATATCAATAGAACAACTACATCAGAAAGTTGTAAAATAATTCCTTAAAGGATTTTAGGTTGATGTGGCCTAAACTTCGAGATTTCTGCTGCCACTGCAGTTTGGATTATAAACTTCAGAAGATTCCTTTCAACTTATTATGCTGCATTTAATAGTATTTGAAAAATTCTAAAATGTAATCTTATTGATTTTTCAAGGCATTTATTAATTTTATGAGTTAGGATTAGATCCCTTCCTATTGTCCCATAAGCTCATGTATTAATTGTGAAAGGAGTACTGATTGTTCAGTAGAATAGATATCTCAACTTTTTAATAATTACATTGCTAATATAGATAATGATTGATGACAGGATTAGTGTTAGTAGTAAACTAAGGACCAAAGGATTAAAAATTTTCAGTGTGATTCTCTCAGCACCTAGTAGCTATCTCAGGGGTGTCAAATTACCAGCCCGTAGGCCAGTTACATCATGCAGAGCCCACGCCCACCCCAAGTCCGGCAATGCGAAAAAAGTCATGACATGTTGTGACACATCATATGACGTGGTGAGTTTGACACCAGTGTACTGCATAGCATGTTTTTCTAACAGCTGTTCACCATATAAACTAAATCATACAATTGATGATCAAGTCAATAACATCTGTTTTAGTCCCCAAAAGGTATATGCAAAGCTAAAAGCTTGCTCCAAACTTGGAATGATGTTTATTCACACATATTCAATTTTATATGGTATTATCTTTAATTAGCCATCTTTTAAATGCAACATATAATTTATTTCTTGAATCAATATGTTGCTGACTTTACTCTCTCATAGGACCAATTAGCATTCAAGTAGCCACAGTGTGTCCTTATCCATCTGTTTTTGCATTGCCCTTCCTTTTGACTCTACATAGTGGAATGTGGATTAGTGGCAATGGCAATAGAAATGAGGGACTCCACAGTTGGGAAAGCATAGACAATTATTGTAAAACATTATTTGCAAGGTCAATGAGCATTTTTCTGTGTTCCAAGTATCTTTAAAATTGTTTTGATGTTGTGTGTCAGTTAACATATAAAATGATTGCCATAGTTACAGAATGTAAAGACCAGGTTTTATGCTATTATAAAGACTAGGTCTTAGGTATGGCAACTAGGCAAAACAAAAACAAATCTTTTAGGCAGAGTATTACTCAGTGGGTGAATGGTTTTAAGAATATAGAATGTGCCCTAAATGGCACATTCACTCTTTGCCGTGCATTTAACAAAGGAGGATGAATTTAGAAGGTGCTACTGCAAAAAGAGATTCCAACCCAGTTCACAAAATTCCAAGATTACAAACACATTTAAATAAAATCAAAGAAGTAGGATTTTTTTATGATTACATTTTTCATGAATCTGCAAGGGAGAACCTAATACTTGTGATTGGAGAGGCTCAGGCACATGCAGTGAAGCCATTGGATGAGTCTCTATTCCTCATATAGTTGGTCAGGATTTATACATTGAGCATACTAAGTGATCATGGCCCAAACCATGTTTTGTGCTTATAATCACTATTTAGGAAACATGAAAACCCATCTAGCTTACACAGATTTTGTGATTGACATATATTGTGTGGGTCAGAAATATTACCAGTTTGCTTTCAATTATCCCCAAATAATGAATTTTGCCTTTCCCCTAGATGGGATTTAGATTGACTTCCAAGTGACATTTTATGTTGGTGTAACAATCTATTTGTATAATTCTAGCACACTATATTAGACTTCACTACATTAAGAAATATTCCAATTATAATGACTATTTCTTATCAACTTAACAGGGGAAGAAGATTGGTTTTAAAACTGTTTCTATTTTGCTTTGTTTGGGTATTATATTACTGTTCAGTTTCTTTTTACTGTATCTTTTAATGTACTGTACATCTTAAATGAATTGATGAGCAGAAATCTGACACATGCTTTAAAATGAAAGGTGTCCATGTATCTTACCAATTATAAAATCCACATACAATCTTAAGTACATCTGTGTAACAATAGTGATAAATTCTGCCACGCATGAAAGTGAAAGCAGAAAAAGTCTAATTCTGGAGATAAATAAAGTAATGTAAAAGCCAAACATAAAAACTAGAATTAGTTCCAAATCTACTGTTCAGGAAGTTGCCAAGTTTGAAGACCCCTCATCAATTCATTATGTTTGTTGTCCTGCAAGGCAGGATGGGATATAAGTTCATTTTTTCAGTACAATCATGTACTGTATTTTTTCAGTACAATCATGTACTCCTGTATTTAGCAGAAAAACCACACAGCTAAACAAGATGTGGTTGACAATATAGTGCTAGATGATGTTGAATAGCACTCAATATACTAGTGAAGAAAAACTGAGAATCTTTTGGTGTTTATAATATGGCTAGATTATAGTTTTTGGATTGTCTAGTTGCTGATGTTGCCATGCACAAAAATAAGAAAGAAAAAATATGTAAAGAGAGAATTAAAATAGAAACATGAAAGATAAGAAACATGAACAAGGGAAAACTCTGGGCAATGAAAAATGAAATAATTGACTACACATTGACATCACTGGCATCAGCTTATTGAAATGGACTGAAATTGATCAAAAGATCATACTATTTTCTATTCAGGACACAAAAAAAACAAAGGAAGAATAGTTTGCTTTGATAGTCAAGAAGTATGTAGCAAGAATAGTACTTGAGTACAATGGAATCAGTGATTAAATAATATCAATTAGACTTTACAACACTTTATCATTATGACTATCCATGTTTATGCTCTAACCAACTGAACAGAAGAAGAGGGGATGATGGGTTTTATGGCCAAGTTGAATCTTAAATCAACACAATGTAAAAGCATATGTAGTTGGACACTGAAATTAAAAAATGGAAAACATTGAGGAAAACATATTTGTACATAAAAGTAATTCTCTACTTATGACCACAATTGGGATCAGAATTCCTGCTGCTAGGCAAGGAGCTTGTTAAATGAGTTGTACCCAATTTTATGACCTTCTTGCCAAGGTCATTAAACAAAACATTGTAATTAAGTAGATCATGCACTCATTAAGCAAATCCAGCCTCCCACATTGACTTGCTTATCGAGAGCAACTGGAAAGATCACAAATGGCAATCACATGACCCTGGGATAATGTAACTGTTTTAGATACATGCTGGTTACCAAGTATCCAGCATGTATCTAAAACAGTTACATGGTTACATACTGGTTACCAAGTATCCAAAATTTAATCATGTGACTGTGGGGATGCTGTACAATTGTAAATCACTTTTTTCCGTGCCATTTTAACTTCAACAGTAGCTAAACTAATGGTTGTAAATCAAGGACCACCTGTATAGTTTAGGAAATCAAAATGTAGCAGAAGAATGCCTTATCAATTTCTACCACTCCAAAGATTTTTCCATTGTTAATACAGTCTACCAAAAATAAAAATAAGATCATTACAAACTGGGAAGCTACAGGAATTGATGGAATATCTACAGCAGGGATGTCAAACTACTGGCCTGTGGGCCAGATGCATCACGAGGAAACCGTGCCCACCCTATTGCCAGCAATGGGGGGAAAGTTCCAATATATCACGTGACATCACGTGATGTC